TTTTTTTTTTCGAATGTCGAAATGCCGATTTGAGACTCGAGGAACTCACAATTTTTTTATTTATAAATAATATATTAATAGGCCCTTTGATAGAAATTACACCTCCCAAATACAGCTTGCCCTACCACCACTCCTGAAAACATTCTGGTATTCGATCCTCGTCATTCGTTGGACTATTGTGGTAAACACACTTCCAACATTGAGGGGTTAACAAGAACTTATTTTTTCTTCTTAAAAACGTTCTTGAAGAAGAAAAAAAAAACGTTCTATTCCAACTTAAAACGAGAAGTCTAAGGCCCAGTTTTTTGATTCATAGTTAAAATAACAAATTGTTAAATTTTGTTACTAATGGTTAAATATTAACAGAATGTTAACTAATAGTTAAAAAATGTACTAAAAGTCAAGCTAACCATTGTTCGAAAAACATTTTTTTCTGATATTTAACCACTTGTCATTTGACATCTGTCAAATTTGACTATTGGTTATTTTAACTACGAATCAAAAAACCGGGCCTTAAAGTAATTAATTCCTTATGAAAGTAAAAATAAGGAGTCTCAAATACCCCTAATGCTTTCTAATATACTTTGATGATAAAATAGCCGGCAGCATAATCTCTCACAAGTCAACAATCCGTCACTTAGTCGCTAATGCCCCTAAATACTTTTTGAAGATATCCAAACAGCTTTAGGCGAAATTAACAATTAGAGAAATTATAATTTCAAAAGCGTCACATCTGCATATCGCTGAATGATAATATTTAGAAGAGGGGAGTCAATCATACCCCAATTTTGCATTTGTTGCGTTTCAAAATACGTCTGCTTATTTGAATAATGCGATTGACGGTATAAACGGTTTTGTTCAGAATTTACGATTGAATGATCGGGATGAATCAATCTTTATTTAATACGCATAGTTTGAAAATTTGCTTCGACAGCAGATGCATCACGGTGGTTGAAAGTAAAGAAAAGCAAACAAACATTAATTTCAGATACCACAAAGGTAATGATGATAACCACTAACCACCCATAGTATAGAAAAAAACTCAAAAAACAGTGCATCTTTTTTGACTCCCAATTTTTTTATAAAAGTGACTCAAGATCAGTGTCACACAGCGCTCAATCATCACTATGGTGTCCTGTTTTCTAAGATCTAGATCAGCGAAGACACTGATTTTGACAAGTTTTGAACGTTTTATGTTTCCTATCTATAATGGTAAGTATGTATTTACAAAAAAAGTAGGATGTATAATGTATAAGTATATTATACTATCTGTTGTCTGGTGCTCCATAGTACAAGCTCTAATTTTGCGTAAAGTTTAAATTAAAGCTTGCAATGACTTTTCCCGGTAGTCACTAAACTTGACCACTGTCCGCCACAAAATTCTTTATTGAATAAAGCTGAGGATCTAAATTAAAAATTCCTGAAGCCACAAAAAGGGTCGTACACACGTGGTCCGAATCTAAATGGCCGTATATCGTAATTAAAAACGGTTCTTCATTGGACAGACTTTTAATGAGTTTATTAGAATTCTGAAATTACAGTTTGAGGTTTTCGAAAATTTTCAATTTACATGTTGAAAATGCCCACGAGTAAATGAATTGTGTTTTTTTAAAGATGGATAGATTTTTATTTATTTTCATCATAATAATGTTACATAGGATAGATAAGGATTAAACTAAAAAGATCATTAAAGAAGGGTCCTTAGGGTCCAGATAGGGATCTAGAATTAGAAGAGAATAGCAAAGGGCACTTAAATCGTAAGATATTTTCTTAAAATTTTCAGCTACACCAAAAAACTTTGTCTGCCCTTTGGTATTACATAGTTACATATTCAATGATGTTCCCTCAAAAATGACACGTTCAGTAGCAGTCAACAGCCCATCAGACTAAACATTCTGCTCTAAAATAGCACCCATTACAACTCCACAAGCAATACCGTAATATCTCCCAATCAGAGTTTATATCCGACATTCCTAATCCCCCAAATCCCGAATTCCTCTCATATGACAACAATTAAGATCCTAGACGTGGATCAATCAAGGTTGTCAATTTCGCCTCGTTACTGGAGACCGCTTTGATAAGACATGCAGATGCGATTCCGGGTGGAGACAGCCCTGGTTTAGTATCAGCACTGCTTGCTAGAGTAAGGGGTGGTGTCTAGTGGGTAGGATTCAATGCGATGCTACTCATTGTTAGAAAATATCTTTCAATCTGCCTTTGTTGTAAGTACTTATTCAAGCTCGGATATACATACAAAATTAAAAGTTGGAACTAAATAAATTACAAATGCCAAAAAGTTTTCCTCAATCCTATAGATTGTAAAAAGTGTAGTCAAAACCATTTTTTGGAGATTATAGGCTGTAGGCGTGTGGCATGTTTCAGAGCTTACAGCTCTAAAAATGCACCTTTTCATACTTCATTTAGGTACTTTGATTCAAGTATGTGATTATTAAAAGAGTATAATCGGATTAAAAACTTCTAAATTAGAAGGAGCCTAATACTTTCCTAACATTGTAAGTTCAACTTAACTTTTAGTAGAGCGAAGTAAACTTAGCAAAGCAAATACACAAGTAATTTACCCAGTAGACGTAGCATCTAATCCTTTGTCTATTACTCTGTTACTACTGATACAATGAACAGAGGTACAGCAGGCTCTCTTTAATAGAAAACATTATGATCCCGCAATCCAAACATACACTATGTTTGGATTGCGGGATCATAATGTTATATGTAGTCTGCTGTAAGTTAGCGCTGGTAGGGCCCAAAAATATAAGGAGAGATCTAAAAAGCTCACTATGGGCTACCATTATTGCTGTATAAAGTGTCCAAGTATTGGTCTAATGGAATAATGATTTGTTTCATGGCGTGGAACAACTCAATAGAGATGTTATCGACATTATTTTTTACAGATTTCGAACTTTTTAAATAGAGAAATGATATTTTTGTTCAACATTGCTCTACCTAATGCTTACGCCGTCTTTTCTTCGAATCACGAAAATCTAACTTTAGATAGCTAATTAATTTTTGAAATGTCTGAAACAGGGTAACGTTTTGGGTAGTGAATTAGTAAATCTACAGGTTAGGGCTTTAACTACTACATTATGTAGTGCATAAGAGCATAATGAACCTTCTACACGAAGATCTGTTATGAACATCAGATCAATTAGGTATGATTCGGTTTAACCGCGCGCCCGTTTGCATATTGCACTGTTTGGGATACATATTAGACAGTCCGCTTGATTACGGCCCGGTCAGTATGAGACTAATTTGAGGAGTGATTCGATTACCCTCACAAAGGTTCAGTCTGGACTAGTTAGGGAGGGTAGATGACCAATTCTACTGTGATTTTCTCTATACTAAACTAAAATTAGATGCGGAAAAGGTAGATCTTAACAAATCGTAATACGAGTAGTGGCTATCTTTCAACAAAATATTCGTTTCAGCCGAAAGACGTCCACTGCTGGACAAAGGCCTCCCCCAAGGCTTTCCACAAAGACCGGTCCTGCGCCGCCCACATCCAGGCTTATGCTTGCTTAGGCAGGATAGGATCTTTATCAGATCGTCGGTCCACCTAGTGGGAGGCCTGCCAAGAGGGAGGTGGGATTTTTTTTTATGATTCACAAAAAGGTTTCGTCGAGCAGTAGAGAGATCGCCTCATTGTGCCGTTTTGAATCTTGTAATTATTTGTTAATTTTCCAATTTTATGTGGTGTTCAATAAAAAGTGATGTTCTATCTAATGTTCTGCTGACGTCACAAATACATCAATCAATGCACGGTTATTTTATAAATATCGGTTTAAAACTGAATATTATCTTGACTCAGCTCCTACGAGTTTGATTACAGCAACAACACCTACTCAGATGATACGTCTCGAAATAAGACCACAGATTTTACAACTGAGTCCCTTCTCCTCCTTAATACCTTATGTAGTTATTAATTCAAGAGTGTTTTAGGCTGAAAAGCACCACCTTACTTTAATAGTAACTATAACGATAACCGGTGTTTCTTGTATGGAGTTTGATAGACCGTTTGTTAAATTTATAGTAAGATGGTGCAATCCATCTTAGGCTGAGTTGCACCGCCTTATTTTAACCGTAACAATGACAATAACCGGTGCTTTTTGTATGGAGTTTTACACACCTTTGACGTTTGTTAAAGTTGTAGTAAGAAAGATGGTGCAATCCATCTTAGACTGAGTAACATCGCATTATTTTAACCGTAACAATAACACTAACCGGTACTTTTTGTATGGTGTTTGACAGACCTTTGACGTTTGTTAAATTTATAGTAAGATGGTTCAATCCAACCTTAACGTTTTTCATCTTTTTCAAATAATAAATTAGAGTCCTAAGAGAGATCCTTGAGAGTCCCTCAAAGATGTAAGTAAGTAGCTTTTTTTGCTGATCAATCGAATGAATAATCAAAAGCTTCTACGTAATTTTCCAAGTAGGAAATAGATATTTTAGTCACAAGACAACAATGGCTACACAATATCCAATTAACCATAATAAATCAACGCAAATCGGTTGAATCCATTAACTGTCTCAGATCATTATCCAAATCAGATCACAATTGCACACAAATTATAATTGGGTATATTGATTCTGTAGGATTAACATTAAGTAGGGTAGGTAGGTACATAATGTAAAGCAGTTGTACAACAAATTACAATCGTGTAATAATATCTGGTATTCCATGGTAATTATGGTGAGATCTTGAAGTGGTTAAACTATGATGTTGAAAGGTAGTTACATAATATAGAAAATAAATATTTGGTTGATAGAGTTAATTAATGCAAGATAATAAGTACTGCTACCACTGATTGAAAGAATTTATTTTAAATAACATCGTTTTATTATAATTTCTATTTGATTATAAAATTACTAGAGTTCATACTTATTCGATATAAAAGATAAACTTTTTCAAATTCCGACCTCCTTACGCAAAACACGGTAAAAGTCAAAACGAAAAAAACGTTTTGCCAAAATGTCATCCAAACTTCAAGCCGTTCAAATTTGTTTTGTCCATATTTTGTGATGATAAGTTAACGTACAGATATTTTTTATATTTGTGTTATTATTTGTAGAAACGCAATGTGTTGTTATTTAGTTGATGTATTTGTAACTTAGGAGAGTAATGAGTAAACCGGACAAAAGGGACTTCGAAGATAGATACTCGGCTTGCTTTGTCGATTTTGGCATGAAAACAAGTAAGTAATTTGGAGTTTTATCATATTCAATTAGGACAGTCTGATTATATTTGCAATGTCATTACACTTCTGATAGTCTGGCGGGTCTGAACCCGCCAAACATTTAGGTATAGGTCACCAGCACATTAGTCTATATATTTTTGTAATAGGATGGCACTAGCTGCAGCTTCTTATAATACTACTACTTTGCCTTCATAATAATATTCTACATGGATGCCTGGTACGATTTGATACATGACAAGGTTATTGTTACCAATTTCCAGTATGCCCAGCAGTGTTTTCTATTGGCTACATATCTGCCGATATGTTATTAAGATTTTTCTAAAACCTTATCACTTGCCATACTGTGTGCTTTGTACTCAAAATTGTACATTAAACGTTAGAAGACTCTTATATTAGCAATAGGAATAAATTGTAAAGACAGTTCATTTGCTCAAACGATTTTAGTTCTCTGTGTTTACAAGAAAATATTTAAGCATCCTTCTGAAAATGTAGAGTTAGCCTTTATACCAACATAACCTTTGATTCTCCCTCTTTCCCATCGGTGGGTGTCCTAATAGGCACCACAGTTAGAACCAACTCCTCCTACCCCAGCAATGGGCGCCCTAATAGGCTGTACGTACATGGCCTAAAACTAGTGAACGCCAGAATTACGTTATTTTGAAAAAGCTGGAAGTTTGTGACAGATAATTATTTTTATTTTATTTTTTTTATTTTTATTTTACAAGGAAAACAATACAGTGTTGAAACTATGTAGACTAACATTTTAGAAAACTTATAACCATTACCATGTTTTCACATTTAGAGCCTGAGTAATGCTTGTTTATCAATAAAAAAATAGAAAAGAAGTTACCAAGCCAGAGTTACCTACTACTAATTAAATTAAAGCTTAATACAAAATAAAAGCCACTTTCAAGAATGCACATCAAACCAGTCTTTGAAGAGATTTCGTTTAACACTATTTATGCTGGAATTGAATAAATCAATATCGGAATCGCCAGCCATAAGGTTAAAGACATTAGCAGCTCGAATAAAAAATGAGTTCTTCCTGTAATTGCTATTACTATGAGGAACAGAAAGAGTAATGGGTCGTCTTAAAGTCCTGCTAGGAGCACGTAGATTTATTAAAGATTTTAGGACAGCTGGCAAAGCTACGATGACCAAAACTTCATGATGCACCAACGTTCTTACCTATTGGGATGAGCGTGCGCTGACAAAATTTAGCTTTTTAATTGTGAAAACGGGCATTAGTCTAACAGTGATTTTCACTATATTTGCCGTCATCTGAACCAACTTAACCTTCATTTTCTCCCCCTTCCCCCCCGTCCTAATAGGCAGTATGGTGGGCACCACAGTGATGTTTATGTCTTGTAGCGGAGTTTGGGGTTAAACCGTATAGGTTTGTTGTCGACACGACAAGAAAAAGAAGTGATGTTTACTACATTTGCGGACACCCAACCCGACTTCATCATCATCATCATTTCAGCCAAGGACGTCCACTGCTGAACATAGGCCTCCCCCAATGCTTTCCATGTTGGTCGATTGGTAGCGGCCTGCGTCCAGCGTTTCCCTGCTATCTTTATGATGTCATCGGTCTACCTTGCGGGTGGACGTCCCACGCTGCGTTTTCCGGTACGCGGTCTTCATTCCAGAACCTTGCTGCCCCATCGGCTGTCAGTTCTGCGTACTATGTGCCCAATCGATCAACATGGAAAGCATTGGGGGAGGCCTGTGTTCAGCAGTGGACGTCCTATGGCTGAAATGATAATGATGATGAATCTTTAGATTTAATGTGCCAATTTAAACTGTATTTTTCTTTCTTTCCCCAGCGATAGGCGTCCTATTAGGCAGCATGGTGGGCAGCTTCTTCATGCGCAGCTACCGGCGGTGGCCAATGTTCGTCGGCGGCGGGCTCGGCTTCGGCATGGCCTACACCAACTGCGAGAACAGTCTGAATAACTTCCTGCTGGCTATGGACCCTAAGGCTTGCATTATCAAGTTAGTATGCTTTTTTAATTAAATTATAGTTCCATTAACCCCTCTTACTAAGCTAAATATGCTTGTGTAAGTGGGTTCACTACTACGAGTATAGTACAGCGGTTACGGAGTTCGAACCTGTATTCTTCGGATTTTGAGTCGGCCAGTCTGACGCCATCACCGTTTGGCTTTTGTCGCTTTTAATTTATTCTGTAATATTTATTACTATGCTTTTAATTCAAACTACAGTATGTAACGATGTCAGGTAAAGGGATCACGTGGGAGATTGTTACGTTTGTAGAAAAGCTCAATACTAGATCCGAATTCTACACTAAGTATAGATTCAAGCCCATGATTGCAATGAGTGTACAGTCTTATTTCAGTATCGTTTGATAATCTATCTATATAAATAAAAATTAATTGCTGTTCGTTAGTGTGATTAAAACTCGAGAACGGCTGGGCCGATTGAGCTGATTTTGGTTTTAAAATGTTTGTCGTAGTCCAGGGTAGGTCTAAACGGTGAGCAAATAAGGAAAAATTGCGATGGCTATTGCCTTTAAGGCGGAACAGAGTTCGCGGGGTCAGCTAGTAGAACATAATTTCTTAAAATATCTCTTGGGTCTTACCTATTATTTGATATAGTTTATTTCTAGTCCTAGCACATAATAGTTAATTAAGAAACCGAATTTATTTAACACTACCAATCAGCTAGTTACTTAAAAACTGTTATAAATTATTCACAAATAAAATTGATTTCAATAATCCAAATGTATGCATTACGACTTTTGCCCTTGAAAAAAAAACATCGGTCCACTATATTAGTATTCGTCTATAAATAAATACCTTTGTCGGCAAACATGTTGCATAAAGGTATTCAAATTACACCGACAGACAACATAAATATGGCTGACAAACTCTACCCCCTGCCACGTCGGCATACTTGAAACGAACAGCAAAAACGGTATTGCCAATTGCAATAAATAAAAACATCCAAATTATCCCAAGATAATGCTTTAAATGCTCCCAAAGTTCCGTATCAAGATATTTCACGCGCGCCATTTAAATTTCAACCGAAAACAATAATGTCTTGTTTGTGCCAAACAACGCCATCTATTGAGCCAAATTAGCGACAGTCTAGCAGCGTCCAGAAGTCCAGACGATGGGTGTAACTAATTACAACAATAAAATACTAAAAGGAACTTTTATGTGAAGGTAGAGTCGCTTTTAAATGTGGGGTTCCGTACTATTTTATAGTAAACACTTTTAGCTGCGCGCCGTTTGACTCTATAAAGATTGAAAAAATTAAGATAACTTCTACTAAAAACCGGAATTAGAACCAAATATTTCTATTTCTCTGATTCTCAAACCATTTCTATTCAAACTTAGTCGTCAGCTATTTAAAACGCCAAAGGACAGACAAAGCTACTTTCGCATTTATCAGTAAGAATATTTATTTATTGCATTTATTGCATTCGTCACAAAATACACTCCGTGCCTTTCATAATACATATTTTATGTCGTTTAACCACTTAAAGGAAAACCTTAATTTCTGTTTCTCGACGATGGCCATTTATTTATCCTAATAATGCCTAGTCCATTTACTCTTATCTTATATGTATGTAAAGATTACTATAATTATAATTCTGTCAGTAGCACACTTATTCAACGCGTTTGAATGAATGAAAGAAAAGTTTATTACAAAACATTTAACTTCCGTCTCAAACCTAACATTTGCGAAGCTTTACAGCTTCCAACGGGACCCTAAAAAGCTCATTTGGACAAGAAAGAGTCGCGGTCACTTTGTACGATTGTAAATAACGGATAGAGACGCACTGCAAAGTGCAAATGAGTTGTAATAAATATTGCTCATTGTTGCTCTGTAGGGCTGCTGAGCTTTTGAAAGCTTTGTTGCATAATGTTTTGGGAGCGCTTTAAAAATTGGAGTTTTTGTAAAAAATGTTTCGGGAGACGTTTTTGGTTTTAAAACTTTCTCTCAATCTTCTTTGACATCAATAAACGATTATAATTTTTAAACTTAGTTGTCCAATTGTTATAAGATAGATAAGAGAACTTTACTAAAAGTTTGAAGAAGCCTTGATATTTTATAATTATGTACTTTGTAATAGGTAAAAAATTTCTGGTGTTAAAGTAGAACGCATTCAAATACTTTGTTTGGTTACAAATAGGGTAAAAATAGACATAATGGCAACCAAGTATCATTTTATAATGTTTATTTTTATTTAATGAAAAAAACTCAATAAAATACGTAATTATGACCACTGAACAGTATCCATTACCGTTTTTAAAGCCGTTCTTTTGTAATTACCACCTTTTGTCTCTTTTGTAACTACTCCCAATTAAAACTTCGAAACCGTGACAGCCCTTACAAATAAATCTTTGGAAAGACAACCCTACTGTCCATTTTGTGCCATTCGGGCTTCGACCACAGCGGGGCACTTCCTTAGTCGGGTCAGTTGTCCTATCTTCGGCCATTGTAGAGTTTTATAGTTTGTGCCTCTGTGTTTAGATTTGGCACCGCCTCCCTTTCTTTATTATAAAATCACTTTGCTGTTTTGCAAACGTCCCGCCTAGTATTTGCCACCCACCGAGGTTTTGTGGTGTTTTCTTTTTAAACGGATGTTTTGTGTGTTATTTCTGGGTGTTAAGGTTCAGTGTCGGTTTGTATTGGGATGTTTTTATCACAATAAAAGTGAATATAGTAGGTCCACTTTTTCTAGCTACAAAGGTAATCGTCTAAAAACTCCTTTTAAAGGCCTGTTTGCAGGAATAAAATTACGTTTATGACCTTTATGACATAAAATGAGATTTGGAAAGTTCAGAAATAGCCTTGATAAAGATATTGTAAATATTTTTTATTATTATTCAACAAGATAAAACTTCCAGATTACTATAGTTCCAAAATACTGAACTGTCCTATCCATGACATTGACAGTGGGGCGCCACCGTCAATACCAGATCGCTGGTTCCGATTTTTGCCATGTTTGGAAACCATATAGTTGAACGATGTTAGTTCCCCCCTGTCATTGAGTTTGGTGGGACAGTTCAGCGTGGGTCATCTATAGTTAATTATCAAATTTTCCACAGCCATATTATTGAATAAACTAGGTATGAAATATGGGTAACCTGAACTTTCAAGCATATTACTGAAACACAATGAAGACTCTTTTCAAAGATAGCTTTTTTCAGACATTTTTTACATCTCTGAATTAAATCTTTCAAGGTAGGATTACTGTGTGTAAGTTTATTATATTGTTATTTTGCCGGTCTGCAAATTGTCGCTTGTTCGAACGTTTCAATCGGTCTGACTCACCGCCGGTAACTTTGAAGTTGTATTTCTATGGCTTTTTTTCAATCCGTCAATTACACCGGACCACGGCCATTTAAACCTGGCTGTGATGGGAAGACAATAGACCCAGGGGCAAACCGTTGATTGTAGACGAAATTGGCCCCGTAGACTGCTTTGTAAGGTTTTTTACGGTTTTATTTGATACGCAGTTATACTTTTTTGGCGTCAGTTGCAAAACGCATTGTTGGCTTTGCGGGTTGGATGTCCAATGTATTATTTTGCTTTTTATGTGATTTTAAAATGGTTCAATAATACACTCTTTTGTCTCAGACTTTGTGAAACGACACTCTATAAGTCTCAGAAATTAAGACTTTTAAAAAATTGGTTAATTTTTTTACATTACCAACCAGATTAAATCTACGCTTAAGTTTAAAGATAATTTGAGCATAATTTCAAAATAGGTTTAATAAACTTGTATGTAGTCGGCAGCACTATACAAACTTTTAGCAAAACTCTTTACCTACGAGGTTCATGTCTCCATTAGATATCAAAAATCAAAACTCTTCCATAGTATCTTCACATGTCCCACATGTCTTCACATTTCCTACCGTCACAAATATTAATGCTAATAGTTTTATTTAAAACCTTTTTTGTTTTATTTCAGGAAGCAGCCGTGATGTCTTTTAAGTTTAAGGCGTCGGTCAAGCATGAAATTGTTCCTGTAAAAACTGTAATCTTAATAGTTTTAAATATAAAATAATATTTCTGTAAAATGGACCTGAACACTTTTATTATAACAACATTAATGTTTTCATAAAAATCGCAATAAATTAAAAAACTAAATCCGTAACCGAATTTTAAATACTTTCATTTACTGTTTTGAAAGCAACCTAGCTACTTCTTCTTACTATAATAATACTTAACAAGAGTTCATTGAATCTACCAATTTCCAGTTACACTAGAAACACAGCATAGGTATACATAGCTTGCTTTCTCACATAATAATTATTCCTGCTAGGAATCCAACCCAGAACTTCTACTTAAATGTAGAGAGCCAAACTGACCAGTCTGGCAATAAAGTAATAATTAGTATTTAATTTTATCAACCTGTCAAGACCTGGAGCGAGATCAAGCGAGAAGCTCAAGACCGAACGAGATGGAGGACTGTTGTGGACGCCCTCTGCCCCATCTAGGGGACATAGGACCATAAGTCAAGTACGTCAATTTTATCAACCTTGGTCACACAAAGCTAAGGTTTACTGCTTAACATCATTCACTACTTGAATAAAAGTACAGTTTTTGTAAAAAAATCTTTACAAATTATGGTAGTGACCTAACTCTTCACCCCATCAATATTGGCACTTCTGTGATTTATGTATGTTTATGTATGATTGCATAATATTTCTTAGGATTAAGTGCATAATGCACAATCCGCATTGCACTAAGCGATTCCGGTAACAGTATACTGAAGTGACTCACTCTATTATTTCCATTATTTCCACGCACTGTGATTTCCATGCTTATTGGATTGAAAAGTGATATGGGCAAGAACAAACGTGTATGTTTAGCGGGTTCTCGATGTTTTGTTTTTGTTTTATTTTATTTATTTGATACACTTTTCAAGGCGAGAGTGAATAGGTACTTACAGAGCAGTTATTATGTACAGTCGCGGAATGAAAAGGTTCGTCACCTTAGTGTCGGTTTTCGCTTGCACTCGGTACTGTAAGAGTCAAACCTGCCAACATAACAGTGCAAAAAACAGTGCTGCTAACATTTAAATAAATATGACGTTTGCTAACGAATAAGGTTTTGCTTGTTTAATTTTCTATCCCATGCAAAGTTACAAAATGTAGTTTTTTTTTTATTTAATAGAAATAATAATGGCAGGTTGAACCAACAAGAAGGTTTTAGTTTATCAGTCATATTAATCTTGACAAGATAAATCGTCAAACAACTTTGATCTGAATAATTTTGAACTTTACTGACGAACAGTTTAAGATTATTTTCTCTAACTCGAGATTATTATGTAACATAGTTTCAAAAGGTAATATGTGCTCGCGATTCGTTGAAGGAATCAATTTGAAAACTGACGAACCTTTTCATTCCGTGACTGTACAATACTAGACTGCAGCAGGTGCAATTGCGGTCATATAATTAACCACAAACACCAACAACTTATAATCAAAAGTAATGTTAAGATAGTAGGTACGCACGCAGTCAATAAGGTCACCATTTTGGCCAATGAATTGCAATGGACAAATTTAAATTCTCTCCAAGAGAATGTGTAAGTATACCAAATAACAAAAATAATTAGGGATTATAAATTTTTGATGCATTTTTTTACATGAGCCTCTTTTGCTTTCAGCTTTGCAGTGACAAAATAACTAGTGTGTAAAGTCTGTAAATATCTTCTCTGCTTTACCCAATTAAATAACTTATTTTTTGGAAAAGGTAAACACTTGTAAAAAATATATATCGGTCAATGACTCCACAATGCTAAGTCACTACCCTGGTCAGTTTCACGTTTCAGAGGATTTAATGATTCATAGTGACTGGTACAGATGACGGCACTTCGAGGCACACACTGTGGCACCTTATTCACTTCTGATAGGGTCTACTTTGGAATGAAAAAAATGTGTAGGCTGATGTGTTGTGGATGCATCAGGTGCATCGCTAGGAATGCCTGAGTCATGAGCGTGAGTCATCGCTGAAGTGGGCCACGGGACAAGAGTGCGGTGGAGTAGTATTCCTGATTATATTTTTTTATTATTTAATTAATCTTCCCTTCTGACCCACCGCACTACCAAACCACACCACCGGTGTATCTTCCAAATTATTAAAAGCTGATTACAAAAATTTAATGATTTTTATGACTTTAAATTAATGAAATTCAGCTTAAGACCGGTGGAAATGTCAGACAAAAACAGACAAGTAACGCGATTGAAATTCAACTAATTTAAACATTTAAACCGGTGCTTACGACTGAATAAAGTTTTTGTAAATCAGGCTCAAACATTGTGATGAAGATAATTGATACGCTGGAATTACTTTAATGTAGTAGATGACCCTGCGTAGTTCCGTTTTTTTCGCCCTGATAACATAACATTAACTACATATCAAACAAATCAAACAGATTTTCTCAATTTATTTTCAACAAAAATTCACATTAACATGCAAGTATAAAAACTTAATCTCACCCAGTCTTGCAGAATCTCATCCAGGGCGGCTCCACTGCTTTCTGAAACAAAAAATAAAAGAATGGAGAGGTGAAACATTAAGCCGGTGAGCGGCATAGGCGCCCTTTAACGGGGCCCGTGGTCTTTTATTTGCAAACAAGGTTTTAATGAACTGCCTACATGTGTGAACACAATTTTGTTTGGTAATTTTAGAGTTATTCAGATGAAAAGTTGATGCAAATTATGCAAAAGAGACCAAAACACATGAGAAAAAACTAATAAACTTCTTCTGAGATACCTACTTGAAACAACCTAAAGAACTATTTAAATGAGGTTTTGTGGATTTCGACATAATTAGTGTTATAATATAAATCAGCTCTACCATCAAGTTTATAATAATTTTTAAATTATGGATAAATTAATGTTCATAACTTGATAAAAAATAGTTGAGAAAATAATATTTTCTCAACTATTTTAGTGCTTGTTATATATTATATAACAAGCACTAAAATTGAGCCAATGTTATTAGATCTAAAACATAATTTTAGAGATGTTAATCTTGACCTAAACATAATTATTATGTTTCCTCTTGTTGTCTAATAAAGAAACCTAGTCTCTACAATCTACATGACGTAATCATCTACAATCTACATGTAAAGTGTAAACACACGTATGAAGTTCTTAATGTAAAGGCATAAACACCGTGTGAAAATTACCCCTCAATGAAAGCTAAATTGCAAAATAATATTCCCGATAGAAAGCTCGATAAAACGGAAGATAGAAAAAGTTATGGACGCGATAAACTTAATGTTGGTCAATCAAAAGCGTGAAAGCTTTATAGAAACAGTTCAAGCCACTTTGGTTAATGCGCTGGCCAATGTTGGCGATGGTAGCCAATGTTGGACAAAGGTTTGTGGTAGTGGTAAAAATAATTAAATATGTTATGAGGATGTTTCAGTGGTTTCTGGATGGTCTTAGGTTCAATATTTATCTGAGTCTCTCCATCCGTCCATCCAGCCGTCCATCCGTCTGTCCGTCTGTCCGTCTGTCCGTCTGTCCGTCTGTCCGTCTGTCCGTCTGTCCGTCTGTCCGTCTGTCCGTCTGTCCGTCTGTCCGTCTGTCCGTCTGTCCGTCTGTCGTCTGTCCGTCTCCGTCAGTCCGTCCGTCAGTCCGTCCGTCCGTCCGTCCGTCCGTCCGTCCGTCCGTCCGTCCGTCCGTCCGTCCGTCCGTCCGTCCGTCTGTCCGTCTGGGGTACACTGCCAAAGATGCCGATCTTCAATCTCACATTAATTGATCATAAAAATTGTGGTTAGCCCAACATTGGTCCCAACATCACTGTCTACATGATAACCAAAAGGCGTGTCTGTATTATTGCAAACCAAAGCCAACCTGCCACGCCATCCCCATATTAGTGAGTTTATTAAATACGCTACTATCCATTGTGATACGGTTTTTGCCTTTTAAACGTCCATTTTCATAGAAAAGGGTGACATGGGAAAGCGCTTTTTTGCACGCTTTGAATAAATCACTGTAGACTTTTGTGGATGGAATCATAAAGACAAATAATTTCTTAAATCAAATTGTATAATATACTATTTCCTCCATTTGCATCTAATGATGACAATGACGAGAGTGATGATGTTTAGTGTATTTTAGAGCGTGTCGTGCAGTGGGAATACCTAAATGACCTGAGAATAATAATTGTCATCATCAGATACTCAATTCTAATGCATCCATAATATTACAGATTTGGATAATGTAATGATTTATGTAATTACACTTGTGACTCTGGGTACAAACTACAAACGCTTTTGTCTCACTAACATTTAATTTTGTACCCATCGAGATTCGAACCGGCTACCTCTCTTGTAGTTGGATACGTGAAGCACCATCTTTAGTTTAAAAGGACACGGTAGACAAATTGTCATCACAGAGAGATATTAAGCAAGATATTACAGATGCCGTACGCAACAAAGTTTCATTTAGTTTGGGATATTAAAAGTTTTTACAATGTCTATCCGTGATTTAGCTGTCCTGGGGGTAATGAAAATATTTTCCATCTTCGCTTTATTACTGAAGCATTAAATCCAGGTTCAACAAACAACGAGGTCCTGTTAGTTTTAGGTGCATTACACACATTGTCATTCCATATTACTTTTGTGCTGTGTGGTTTTGTTAGAGGATGTGTGAGATGTGATTTGTTCGTTTGCCTCCTGTCACATAAAAAAAAGGATCTCACTCACTTTCCCGTGGATGTCAATTATTTTATTTTATTAGGGATAACAAACAATTGTACAAACGGATTTAACAAAATGTCTTACAGATACATTTTAAATAACTGTACAACCAGCACCGTTATCCACGAAAATAATAAATATAGAACGGCTACTAAGGTCCGGCGTTTACCCGTGGTCCCCCCAACATGTCCCCCTGGTGGGTCCACGGGTAATTTTTTTTACCCGTTCCCACCGTTCAGTGTACCTACCATGAGTTTACGTTAGGTGTGCTCGCTAGCGATTACGTCAAAAATCTCTATGAAGATTTTGTTTCATGAAAGTAGCCGCTAGGGGGCTGCACAATATGTCATACTAATTAATGTCATTTTTTTACGCAGTCGCTAGCGAGCACACCTAACGTAAACTCATGGTAAGCACACTGAACAGTTTTTGCCAGTGGGT